AGCGATTGATTTTCTCCAATTGAAAGTTCTGTATATTTTTTTGTTTTTATGTTAGACGCTGTTCAAATCCGCAGAAATTTTTTTCCTCTCGGCAACCCTCCATACGCAAAAAAAAGTAAAAGAGATAGCCTATATTTTGACTTGTTACCAGGCCCTTTTAAAAGCGCAATTATTTTTTTTATCATTTGTACAATTAATGGAAGACAATAAAGTGAAGATACAACTCTTGTTTTTAAGTTTTTTTATTATTATTTGATACAACTCTTTATTAATAAGTGAAAGTTTTTACAGCAATTGATAAGTATAAATTGCATTACAAATGAAACTAAGTCAAAATAACAAAGTCTACAAAGCGCCAAAATAACTGAAAATCTTGGAAAATTTTTAAATGAAAGATTCTAACAAAAAGACTAGGTGAGAAAATAAATATCACTAGATAAGTAGTGTGATAAGTCTGATTAATTCATCGACTGATACGAGATACTACAATTCTGTTTTGAATAATTTTAAGAGAAATCTTCAACACGACATGAAATTAACTTTTTACAGAAGATTTCATCTTCTAAGATCCAAATTTCTGTCATTTCTGAATGAAAAAACTAAATCTTTCTCGATATTAAAAATCTATTTCCCAGCAAAATTCAAGTTTGAATAGCCTCTTTCTCGTTTGCTTTGGCAGCAAACTTCTGAATTTGTTTAGCAGCAATCGTCAAATTTCTCCTGGCACGAAGTTGGCTTTGCTTAGTTACAGGTTTTACCTTAAAAATTAATTTCGAACTGTCGTTTCTCTCCGACATGTCCTTCTTGTTAAACATTTCGATCTTTTTCTGTCTCTCCTTACTTGTGGTCGAATTCAATAAGAGATGTTGAAGGAACTGCAAGGTAACGTAAACAAACTTGTTAAACTATGGACAAAACTAACCTTATTTACAAAATAAATATATAATATTTATTAATTTATTATTAAACTTGTTAGATATGAACGAAACTAACCCCAATAACATAGTAAAGGTGTTAAACATGATTTCTCTTTGCCTGTATAAATTCTTGTCCAAAGTGAACCCTTTCGCTCCCAACATCTTATTGGACTTATTATTATTTATTTTATTAATTTATTATTAAACTTGCTAAACTATGGACGAAACTGACCCTATTACAGAATAAAGGTGTTAAATATGATTTCTTAATGCCTGTATAAATTCTTGTTCAGAATCAACTCTTTCAACCCCAATGTCTTAGCAGCAATTCTCCTCAATGTCTGCCTTAAAATTCTTATGAAGTTAGCTTAGGGAATTCGGAACTGGATCGACTAATAATCCCCAATTGATTTTTTTTTCTCATCACTTGTCTGCTTGACATTGGATTAGTTTTGTTTGGATAAATTTTGTCTCGGTCACCCATGGAAATGTTGACGATCTGCTTCAAAAAAGTGTTTTCATACCGCGCGACATGTCTAAGGCCTGAAATCTTCTGCGTGTTACCATAATTTTGGTTACAGCAAATGCAGACGATTCTCGATGCACTTATTCTTCTAATTGATTTGCACATCTTCCTTCAAATTTAGTTTTGAGAGTTCAGTGGTAGATGAGGATATAAACGTTACCTGCATGATGTTCTCTGAGAGTCATGTTCACAAAATTCTATGTCAATGTATTTGTATTTGCGCATATATAGAAAATGTTGCCGAGCAATAGCCAAAACATTGCAATTACTTTGAAAACATTATGGGCCGGTTATTGACACGAGATCTAATTCAAACCGTGGTTTTACGCAAGCAGTGGGCTTCAGGAATTTTCTCTAATAGGATTGATGTAATCGAATGAATGTCCTTCCACTTTGTTTAAATAACCGGCCCTATGAATCTGAGATGTGAAAACTTGAAATCTACTGAATTCTGCATTACATCGTTTCTTGTCGACGTAAATTCGTACGAGAGAGAATGCAAATTTTATTTAATATAACCAAAGCGTTTTAAGATTTGGAAGCTGACCACTTGCCTGCTCGAAATCAATCTTAACCACAATCGAAAAATCTGCGAATTAAGCGTGCATTACAACGAGTCGAGCTTTTGCAACGACATGCCTTCCCCTTTGCAACAATTTCGCGAAGAAACCCGAAAATTTGTAACGGCGACTTGTAAAATTTCCCTCCAGATACTTTATCTTTAGAGACATGACAATGAAGGTTACTTCAATTTTTTCTAGGAAAAGGTGAACGTCTTAGAGAAATACAACTGAATTTTTGTATATTTTTCAATAGCGCACCAAAAGATTTGTTATCATTCCGATCATTTTTTTGCAGTAGCGTAGTTTGGTGACGAAATGTCACCTAGTGAAAATTAAAAATTCATCATCTATTGTTTTCTTCCATGAAGGAAGGAATAAATGAACTACTCTTTGAATTTGAAAAAATTTTAGAAAATATTCCAAGAGTTGTCGCGAAAGCTGCAAAATGCTGAAATATTTCTATTTATGATTTTCTATTTTGAAAAGATTTCCTTATAACCCGCTCTAATCCCAAAGGCAATCTACTATTTTCGCTTTTGCTCTCTTCATCCAAAAGCTGTTTGTATAATGAAGTATGGGGCTGTACGCAATGCAATTCTAGCTCCTTCTTTTACCTAACAACAGTTTATAAGCTCGAACAATCATAAGTTTTAATTTTAAACTTAAGGACATTTGAGAAAAAGTTTCAAATATCAAATTTCTTCTCGACAAATAACTAGCAATTCACCCCTCTTTCGTGCAAATACTGTTCTTTGTAATTCTAATGCTTTGTTTTTTAATAGTATGGGGTTATGCGAAAATCTTTCCCATCATGCCTTGTGAATACATTACGTCGCCTAGCATCAGACAAATCTTTCTTAACTACTTTCCAATATTTCAACAAGCCCACACAAGCAAACCCGTCGCTTGATAAGATATTCTTGCATGTTTGATCAACATGGATATCGGGCGTATATTATTCCATCGTCTTGTGACACATGTACACCTCATGAGCCTGTTTTAAGAAACATGGAAGTTGTCTCTTACCTTGACACAAGTCTTTGCTTTCATTCCCTTTCTGTCCCTTAATACGCTTCATATACATTTATCTTTAGGATAGAGTATCTGCAAAAGGGACGAAAACAACAGTTTAAATTCTCGTGGCTAAATGAATTGCATCACACTGGTTTAAGAACTTGAGCGGTTCATCTTTTGATAACCCTCAAATTTCCCCCGATAGTATCACCCCTTAAGGTGAAACAAATAGTAAGGTCATGAGAATGAAGGAAATGATCGTTGAGTCAAGGAGCTCATGATTATCATGCAAAGTGTCCTTTCTAATTAGAGAACAGTACAGAGAACTGGCAATATTGATGTTTTCCGCGTTACAACTGTAAAAATCTCAAAGTTTAGTGATCAAGAATTGATCTTGTTCTACTTCGAAAAGTTCAAATCGGTTTGAGTGTACCGTCAGGCGAAATAAATGTCTTACTCTAAAACTCTTCTCAGCTTGGCTGGACTGATACAATTAACTGATAAATTTTTCCTTTGAAATTGCAAACGAAGACTTGGAAGCGGTACTGCGTCTGGAGAAGTAATCTAGAACTCTACCATCGTTCATTCTCAACCTCATACAACACGCTTCACAAAAACTTTTAAGTTGAACTAACTCTTTTTCTTACCTTGTGTTTCGTTGTAACTTGAAAAACAATCTTTGTCGTGAGTTATCAGTCCATGTATGGTTTGCAAGAACAAGCAAAGGGACTCCTTGATCCTTTTAGCTCCGGCATTTGGACGTTAAATTTCCTGAGAAGCGAAGCAATTCATAACACGAGGAACCGTAAAATGTAAATGAGCTGAAAAATTTACACGTGCAATGAACTTTAGTTTAACTGAAGAAAGATGACCTGAGAACGAGGTTGATGAAAATTTGCATCGCGAAGTTTCCAGGGTTGAGATTGAATTCAGTATGGCTTATTTACGACTGATATTTCTCACAACTACCCGGTAAATTTTAATGATAGTGTAGATTTTCCGCTAGAGAGAGAAAGAGAGCGAGGGAAAGAGAAGGAAGCACTTTGATGGAAAATACATGGCCAGAATAGATGGAAGAAGGAGTGAAAGGGCTTTTTTAAGAAACAAAAAAAAGGGACCATTGACGAGCATACATGTAACATTACTGAAAAGATGATAGAAGATTGGCTTTTCTTGCCTTTTTTTTTCTTAAAAAAAGGAAAAGTGGCAAGCTTTCCTTTGTCTATTGGTAAGAGTGTTTGCAATTATGACCAAATCTTTATAGATAGCCGCGTCGTATTAGTCTCGTACCCAGATCCTATCGTGTAACTGTAACTGAAATACACAACCGCTTGGCCGTGGAAGGTCTGAGTATGAGACTAGGGTCGAATCACTCGATCAAACTACAGATACAAATTACACTTGCAAAGGCATTTGGGGATGTTAGACGAGATGACAAAAAATAGGCTCCAATCCGTACATGTGAGAACTCGCTCCGATGAGCTTTCTGGAAATTATGGAGCCGACATGAAAGGAAAGAAGAATGAAGGAAAAGGGGAACGACAGAGACAAGCTTTAATCAACGCATTATCCTTTGCAACGTTTTAGTGTGATTTGAAAAGCAAGTGTCCCCCTTCATGTCTCTGTGCTGAAAAACAGATTTTGAACAATGACGACACTGTATTTGCCAGTGTAGGATTGTATGAGGTCAATACGCTGGAAGGTGAAAAGTGACTTGTAGTGAGGGTATGATGTGACATAGAAGCGAACGGAGAGGTAAAGTACCATTGAAAAGAAAATTGACACCGTAACGCACTCAAACGGTAACGCAGCAACGAATACAAAACGTAACGTAAACGTAACCCAAAAAGTTACCAAAAACGTGACTCAAAGTCGCAAAAACAATGAACTATAGAGAAGAAACCGAAGTCTTTGAAGAGTAGATTGCTAAAAAAATCGTTTTATGCACTTTATAAATCCAAGACAGAAAAGTAAGCTAACTATGTTCAAAATACAGATTTATTTACATATTCTTCGGATAGTAGTGTACAGTTACGATTAGAAAAAAAAAAGGCTGTTAAGTGACAGTTCCGGCTTTTCATTCTTTCCTTCTCGAATGCATTGACTACGTGTCTATTTACAAGGCAAGAACAAAACTCTCATCATCCAAACTCGAAAAAAAAAAAAAAGCTAGATAACTGGACAATGTAACACGATTTTCAGTAAAAGATCCTTCACGCCAAAATCCTACCCAACAGCGACCGGCGGAAGCCTGGAGCCAGAGGGTGGACGGGAATTTATAACGGTCTCCATGTCTTTTATTTGAACTCGCAATTTCCTTATCTCAGTCTTCTGCATATCTATCATTTTTTCCATTTCCACATTTTCCTCGGACAGTTTCCGTTTGTTCTCCATATTCCCGATTTCTTCGTCTTCGGGGAATTGCTGTTGTTTCCGCATAACACCTAATGCGGTTTCCAGGTCGTGGACTTGAGTGCGGGCGATTTTAAGCTCACGCCTTAAGTCGTTGATCTCTTTAATGAGAGTGACGTTCTCCTGATAAGGTAAAAAAAAATAAAAAATGACGTTACGATAGGAAGTGCGCACAAGATATCTTTGTAAACAAGTTTGCTCAGTATCGATAAGTTATCACCTATCGTTTTGGCAAAAGAGAGTGTTTATGATACTTCAGGTAAAGTGTGATGCATCAAATGTCATGTGATATGTGCAATACGGTGCCTTATACTTCTACAATTTTATCCAATTAATATTTCAAAGACAACAACAATAAAAACAACAAAGGAAGGGGGCTTTTTAATGACCTTTCCGTTTCTTTGTTTTGTTAAAAAAAGAAAAATAAAACGACATCAAATGCTTAAAGAGTTTGCAAACGATGTAACAAATCCGAGATCCAAACAAAGATTTCCGAAAGAGCACTGCAGTCCAGTCGCGGCGCTTAATTTAACGGTAATACTAGGCATGAGTAAGTCAAACCAGAATGTGCGCGAGAGAAGACACGGGCTTCGTTTCGCGAGTGCAATACGTATTCTTGCCATGCGCCTGGAAAGTAGTTACCAGCATCTTGAGTGCGATATAAACGCATGTAAAACGCAAGACAGGCAAGTACACTCAACCAAAACCGCAAGTTCCGTCGCAAATGTTACTTGTATTCTTACCGTGCACCTGATGTGCAGCTAACATTATCTTGAGCGCGAAAAGCAGGTGAGTGAAACGCCTAACGCAAGACAGGCTCGCACGCTACCCCAATACTGCGTGTTCCATCGCGCGTGTGACTTGTGCTCCAGTCATGCGTCTGCTACGCTGCTAACAGCATCTTTAGTGCAAAAGAATGCATGTAGAACGCGCAGGAAACGCAAGACGAGCAGATACACCCCATCAAAACCACGTGCTTCGTAAGCTACATTTCAAACGAACTCCTACGACGTCCAAAAGTTTTTACTTCCTCACCTGCATAATTCTGACATTATCTGCCCTGTGGATTTCAGAATCTTTAGCAAGCTTCTTTCGTAAGGATGCCACACTTCTCTCAAGATGTTCTCGCTGACGCGCATACTCTCTTTGAATGTCCGCATCCACACCAGCGGAGTCCAGCTAAAATCGAAAAAAAAATTATTAAATTAAAAGATATAGGCGCATTGAAATTTAACAATTTAAATATTCAAAATAGGAGAGCCGGAGGAAAAAAACCTCGGAGCAAGTACGAGAAGCAACAACTGAACCCACATGTGACGCCGGGAATCGAACCCAGGCCACAGCGATTTGCCTGGAGGCGAGCGCTCTCACCACTGTACCATCCTTACTTCCTCATGAAAGATAAACTTTCGTTCAGATAGTGTAAAGATATCCTTTTTCCTACTGAGCCACATTTTATAATTTCAGTCACAGTGATGTACTAATTTTCTTTTTCAAAGACTTAGCATCGACCATAGGTTTTCCCGCGCTTGGTATAAGTTAAATTTATTTTTCGCCCTTGGTACCAGCGATGGGGCTTTACATCGAGATCTAATTGATTCTATGATTTATTTCTGCTTACTCTCATTGCTCAGAAGACAGATTTGATACCTGTTCGACGTTAAGAGACAAAATAGTAACTAGTTATCCTCACCGATTCATCTTGGACGTATTTTTGATACAAGGACTTGACATTCTCTTTGAGTTTCTTGGGCTCTTGTATAAAACCGACGCAGTTATGAAGGTCAGTCTTAAATCTCTTCACCACAGCTTCAACATCACGCACCTAAAATTGAAAAAAAAAAAAAACGTAATCAGCCAATACCGATAAGTGAGTACATCAGCAGCTTAATTCTCCTCAGCAAGTAACACAATCCAAGTTTAAGACTTTCCCTACCCTTTGTCTCTCCATATGCATTTCTTTGTCTGTGGCCTTAAGTTTCAGTCTCAGCTCAGTGATGTTCAATTCCAGGCTCGTATTTTGTTTGTGGAACCGTTCAAGCTCGCTCTCCATCTGTTGAAAAGGAAAATGCAAAGCAAGGTTAAATCTCTTCTCTAGCTTGTGGCCCACACTGCAAAAGAGCTTGTTCCGTTTTCGCGGCAAGAATATGTTAATTATTGTTAAGTACGGTAAAATCTCGAGCTTCTGACCCACATTTTGCCAAAGATTATGTGGCATGAAGCAATAAGAAGCATTGCTCCCCCCCCTCCCTTGAATGGCAGTCCATCGCAAGGTTATCACCCAATATTTCATCAACTTCCCCATGGAGCGAGAGACTGTGAGCGTAAAGAATCTTGCCTTAGAACACAACACAATGACCCGGTCCGGTCTCGAACCCAGACCCCTCACCACCCGGAGTCCAGCGCACTACAACCATGAGGTCACCACGTCTCCCGAAAAAGATCAACTAGTCATCAAGTATAAATAAACAACAACAATTGTGACGTAGATCGCTATCCTTCACCCTTTCACACCAATAGGTTACAATTATTCCTTTAACATGTATCAATAAACCGTCGAGGACGTTTTTTATTTTTTTTAATCAAGATACGCAGACGATAACGTAGTTAAAATAAGACTGAGACACAGCACACACAGGGAAAAACGCGCGCCAAAACTCACAACAAGAATACGAGCACGCGCGAAAAGTAAGAGGCAACGCAAGAGCGCGCAGAAATTTCTGCAGGGCGTACTGACATTTCTGCGAGGCGCGCGGGCATTTCTGCAGGGCGCGCGCAACTACGTCAATAATGGTCAACAGCAAGAACTTTTAGTCTGATCGCAGAGTGGTATGCTCGCTAGCTTTCAGCGCGTTTTACGCTGATCTGGATGTCGCTCAGTTGCAACTTTTATGTGTTTCATGGGAATTTCGTACGGTCAGCCCATTTTTCGTTCACCAATGACCGAAAATACGATAAACACCCGCTGCAGGTTGGTAACGGAATGACATTTTTACTTGTAACGGTCGCTTACCTCTTGAATTTGTTCTTTCATAGCTTTTATGTCATTTTCTCTCGGTTCTATTTGTTTCTTCAGCTCCTTGATTTTATAATCCAAGACAAATTTGAACTTTTCAAGCTCTTGATTCTTCTTCTTTAAGTCGTAGATACGTTTTTCCTGGAAAAGGAGGTCGAAGTTCATTCAGAGGTGCGATTTTGGACTCTTTAAAAACCGTCAAATTGATTAAATCGGTCAATCAGTCGGCCCGTAAGTCAGTCAGTCTTTCTGTCTTTCTGTCTTTCTGTAGGTCTTCAGCCTGTCTATGTCTCTGACTGTCTTTCAGTCGGTCTTCAGCCTGTCTATCTCTATGTCTTTTGATTATTTTACTTTTTGTTACGCCTGTCTCGTTGGTTATGTGCACGCTTGGTCTGATTGATCTATCTGTTTTGTCTACCTCCCTGACTGCCTCAGTGTGTCTATCCGCTGTACAACTGTCTGTTAATCCTGACCTACGGTCTAGCATACTGTTGCCTGCCTATTTCTCTGTTTGTGTGTCTACCTTTCTTTTTGTCTGTCTGTCTGTCTGTCTCATAGGCAAGTAACGAGTCATTAAACGGATCAGTCACGAGTTATTCAGCTAATCAGCAGGGGATCATGTTGTTAGCCGGTAAGTTGGTCCTCCTGACGGTTAGTAAGCCGGCCGTCACCTGTCGGTATCTCGGTCAGACAGCTAGACCAGTAAATCAGACAGCCTACCAATCGATCGATGGATCAATTGGTTGATAAATCAATGTGTTGGTGTGTCATTTAGCCGGTCAGATAGACCATCCGTGAATTAACCGATCAGTTAATTCTTCAATGCATTCTTTACAAGAATAAACAAAAAACCTTCACCCAACCTTGTCCTGAATGGTTTCGTCTCGTTCCTGGATTTCCTTCTTCAGCCCATAGATGTCCTTCTCCAGAGACTTAATCACTCCTTGTAGTTTGTTATTCTCGTTTTGTTGGCGTTGGATTTCAGCTTTGTAATCGTCAATTTCTTTTTGTAGACTCGTAAACTACACCGAAAAAAAAAGGGACAGTGTTAAGTACAAATAAGGTAGCTTGAGAAGGTCACATCGACAACGACAACCTTAGCTAGCAACCAGACCCTCATCATTAGCGCTGCAGGATGCGCAATTTTTCCATCGGCGGGAAGATTGGAGACGAGCTGGGGAGAGGTTTGTCGGATGTCTGGCACTGATGATCAGTGCTAGCATTTGCAGACGTGTCGGAGGCTTGCGCCGCTCAAGATCTCATATTTTCCCGAGTGCAAAGAGATGCTGGTGTCGAAGTGCTAACGATGAGAGCCTTCAGTTTCCGTCATTTCTCTCCAGAACTTTTTTTTAACATGTTAACTGGAAGATGACAGCGTGACAACGTTTTCTAACATCGAAACTTAATTACGAAAATGATACACATTCTTTTAATTCCGCGATTACCAAGAAGCTGCTAAAAACCCAAAAATTACTACAATGGAGAACTACTAATCAGATCTTGGGAGTTAACCCTTTACACCCTAACATCAGTAAGCATATTCTCCATACTGTTCTCTATACATTTCCTAAGCTACTGACAAGGAGAATTTGATTAACGATCAAGAACTTCTTTAGTTGGTGATCATTTCCTTTACTCTCATGACCTTGATGGGTGATTTAGGGGTGATATTGTAAGGAGAAATTAGATGCTGGTCACTCTTAAGGGTCAAGGGATTAAAAAACCTAACCGATGTTACCTTTTTCCTCATAATCCCTGTCTCGCCTTTCAGTCTCAGATTTGCTTCTTTCTCCTCCCTCAGCCTTCGTTCGTACTTGTTTTTTATATCCAAGATTTCTCGGTCTGCATCCTCTTCAATTTGTTTCTTCGTTTCTTCGTACTCTCGTAACTGCTGCCGTGATTCATCTTGTGACTGTAATAAATATCAACAACAATGGTAAGAACGGATTTAAACCAAACTTTGCATAAAAATATTCAGTGATAGTGCACATCAAAACTTCTAATAAGATATACACCCGATGGAGAGCGCAGTACGTTTTGCTGACACTTATCAACTGGATAGCAATTTATCCATTGAATAACGTTGTGCCTCCTTGGAACAACTGTCGCGTTTCCTTTTCTTTTTTATGATCAACTGAAAAATGTATCTGAAGACTTCTTACACGTATACACATCACAGTTGTTAATTTAACTTAAACTAATCTTTGACTTTCGAACGAAACAAAATGACACTTTCTAAAGAAAGAACAACGAAAACCGGAGACAGATTCTTAAATTTTATTATCTGTAGAAGTCTTGTCATTCTCCCGCGGCTTTAACCAAACTTCTGAGAATAATAAGTTGAATAAAGACGATAGTTTTATGAAGTCATATCTCTCAGGTGGACGGGATGGTGTAGTTTTTTTTTACGCTGTATTTGGGAAGGGGAAGGGGTTGTACTTTAAGGATGAGGCGAGGAAAATTTTGTTTGTTTTAAGTCGCCCAGTTATCATCTGTTTTACAGATACGCAAAACTGTAGCGGCGCGGAAGCGCAATGTTGTTTATTTCTTCTGTTAAGTGGGAAGATTTCATTCACAGGGTGAGGTGGTTAAGAATTTGTATTATATGGGATGAATGAGTTCTATTCTGGTGTATGTATCTAAGAAGCCTTGTTTACCTGTTCTAGCTGCGCACTTTTCTCTGTCAGTTTATTCTCATAATATTCCGTCAGTTCCTCCAACGCTTGTTCCTTCGATTCCTCCATTTCCGTCAACTGTCGTTCATAATCCTCTTGCATCTTCTGGCTCTTGGCCTGAAGCTCTTGATATTTCTCATATTCTGACATAAGCTTCTGGTTGTTCGCCGACTCCAGGTCTTGCAATTCCTTGCCATGCTTTTCCGTGAAGTCAGCTATCTCTTCTTCGTGTTTCGCTTCTTCTTTGTCCTTGTCGGTCTTAAGAACCTGGTTTTTAGTTTTCAAAGATTCCATCTCCTGTATGAACTTCTCCGTGAGTTCTTTGATTTTTTCATTGTAGTTCATGTCTTTGAGACGAAGCTGGTACTCGTTTTCCATTTTGAGTTCCTCCACACGTGTTTTAAGCTCAGCCATCATGGAATTCTAAGTTGAGAGAACGATAAAAGGTTCGCTGTTAATGAAAAACCATACACCGAAAAAGTGCAACTTA